AATATTTTGCATAAATACTAAATTATTATGCTTAACATTAATTAGCAATTTTATATTTTAAGTTAATTTTTTTTTATCTGTTTATCCAACTTTTTTTTTTCATGTCTTACCACCTCAATTTATCAGTTTACATCATGACAAAATGTTATCATTTGTAGTTCCCTCCATATTTTTAACACCGTGAAAGAAATTGTGAAAAGCCATAAAATAAATCCACCTTTCAATGCAAACTTTTTCCCTTATGACTCTTCACTGAACTCATGCTAATGTACGTTACTGATTATATTCTTCTTGTCACCTTCTGATTTATGAAGCTCAATGTAAAATCTGAAATCACCAAATAAAAGTTAGTGTTAGCTTAAGAAAATCTAAATTTGAAAGAAAAAGAGGCTTCAGTGACATCTCTTCTAATGGACTTGTCTAGAACAGAAATAATTGTGGCATGGATGGGTTTCCATCTTGTTTCATTAGATGGATGTTTTTTTTTTTCCAACTGAATAAATGGACAGAAGTTGAATGTGTTTTGAGTGTAATTATTCTGTTTAGACAAGGGATTTGTTGGGGCCACTAAATGTTTTAGGATGGCCCCTCCACCCAGTGCAGGTGATAAATAACATCACAGTTGGACAATGTAACTCATCCCATGCATGAAGCTGTTGTTCAGCTGCAGAGCTCCTTCCGTGACAGAATGCTGCATCATAGGTCCACGTCTGAGCGTCATCACAGATCCTTCCTCCCAGTTGCTGTTATTTTCCCATTTGCAAATTCCAAATCCTGTAAATTGTTTTTTCTACATAAATATGACATGCACATTTTGGACATTTTTTCTTTTTTTCTTTTCAGTTGCACATTTCTTTGAATTAGTGTGTGCTTTTTTTATAACTGCACAGTATTGTCTTATGCTGTAAATTTTGTTGATTATGTTATTACTTCTATTTTAGTATTTTTATTTTGTGTAATTCTACATGCTCCTTCTTGCCTTTGGTTTTTCTGCGGGTACACATGAATTTCGTCACTAAGGAGGACAATAAAGATAATTTCTACCCTACTCTACTCTAAAATGAGGCATGTGGTGTTTAATCCAGAATAATCATAATAAACGCAACTCGTCACAAATAAATTACATTGCAATTTTCAAAAATTTCAATACCAATATTTGTGTCTAATATCACTGTGAACTTCTCTGGTAACAAAGCACTAGTGTACATGCACCACTCCACCTGTCAAACTAAACTGCTTCCTTTGTCACTTCACAGAGGAATTACTGTGCTGCTATGTTGTTTCAGTAGTTGAATAATGGCTCTGTAAGACTCCAAGGCTTTATTTTATATTAGCATATAGTAATAAACTTTGGGGAAATTAAGATTAAGTGTGAAGAAGATACAGTATTTTCATTACAATGTGGCTCACATCTGTTATGGCAGAACAACTCCTGGGCATTGAGCAGAATATATTGTATGTCAAAGATTGTTTTTCTTAGCTGAAATACAGTAGGATCGTATTTCAAAAAGAAAGCCGGAAGAGCCGTAAAGTGGGTGAAGGAGGATAGAGAGGATCAGGGGTGAATGAAAATGTAAAGATTGCATGGAATGCTCCCGTGTGAACTGTAAATGAACCCCCAAAACTCCAAATCCCCCCAGCTGCTAAACTCTGCTCCTTCACACTGACACAACCACAAAACATTTGCAACCCTTAGAGCAAGGAATGTCATATTAAGATCTTTACAAGCTATGAAAATGAATATTTCTCTCCCACAGGTAGTGCTGGAGAAACGCAGCGTGTCTTGCAGCATGTTTTACTCCTTCATCTGCAGTCGCTAATTTAAATGCTGTTCATGTGGATCTTCTTTGAAAAAACAACAGAGTAGATTCAAATTTTGAAGTGAAAGATGGACACGTACAACAAAAAATAAAACTTGAAAATGGTGATGTGCCTCTTTACTTAACTTTCTTTAACTGGGTATCCCTAAATAAGTGCAAAAATTGCCTCCAGAAGTCACCTAATAAGTAAAAAAAAAAAGAAAGAAAAAAAATAGTCTGTCCGTTGCCTTCTTGTGCAACTCCACTTGAAAAAACATATTTGTTTACAGCACAATCTGGGTTTCTCCACCTAAACCCGGATTGTCTCTGGTCGATTTTTGACTTGGTCAATCTCAGCAAACAGAAGGGGAAATTGAGGACGATGATGTCGATTTTCTATTCTGTTTTAGAATTGTAGTTTTAGCAATGGCAGCAGAGGAAGTGAACAAAGCCAGTCACTGAATCCCACTGCAATATCCTCTCGATCCAAGCTTTAGCTGTCATTTCCAAATATTGAAATAACATAAACAGTCGTCTAGTTCGAATTGGCCCTTCTCTCCTCGCAGTGGATGAAGGCTGTTTACAGCGCAGGCAATTTCCAGTAAGCTTCTTAGCATTGAACTGGTGCAGGCAGACATTGGCAACTGTGTAAAATTTAAAACCTCAACACAGTCCACGCCTCCAGGAAACAATCATTTCTCAATGGCCGAGAGTCCAGACTCTCTGTACAGAGCAAAGCATAGAGCAAGGGGATGGCTAAAATCATAGGCTGGTCAAGACATCCAAGGTAATTCTGGAGGAGCTGAAGCAATTCTCAGGAAAAAAAAAATGTTGGCAGGAAAATTATTGGCTGTGCCGCTATGAAGAAAGGCACAGTTAAAAGAAAATGATAGCAAATACTCACTATCAGTTTCCCATGAGCTATGTGAGAGACACAGTAAGGAAGAAAGTGCTCTGGAAAGATTCAACTAAAATTGAATGTTTTAGCCTTTAACCAAAACACAGTGTGTGACAGAAACTAACACTGCACATTACCCTGAACAGAACACCCCCACAGTGAAACATGTGGGGCTGTTTTTCTTTAGTACAGGCAGGGAAGCTGACCAGATTTGAGGGGAAGTTTGATGAAACCGGACAGAGCAATCCTGAGCGAGAGACAGAGGCTGTAAATGATTTATGACTGGGATAGATGTTCACCTACCAACCAGACGAACCTGAACATACGTCCACAGCCGCATAGTCATGTGTTTGAATGACCAATTAAAAGTCTAAATCTAAGCCAAAATGAGAATCTGTGACAAGATTTTGAAAAAATTGATGTTCACAGACATTGAATTTGACCCAGCTTAGGATATTTTTGTATCTGTAAGATTTGCTGGTCGAAACACATCGAAAACCTTAGCAATTTTCTTCAATGAAAATTGGTTGTAGAAAGTATTGACTCATGGGGGCTAAGTACAAACGCAAGGCACATTTTTCAGATTTAAAATGCTTATTTTCCTTCCACTTAGCAGTTACACATTTCTTTATCTTAACTCAATGTATACAAAATAGTAATGAGGTGGAATGACGCAGTACTGACTATCTTTAATAAATCTTTTCTCATTCTTGTAGGCAAAAGTACGGATAGTCATTCTGCAGTAAGATGGTGAATAATTTCTGTTTTTATTTCAAATGAGAAGACAAAAAAGTAGACACTGATGAAGTGTCTGTCATCTGTGAGTTTAGCACCTCTAGCCTCTGTTGGTTTTCTGATCTCTCATCATTTGTCATCAGTGACAGATTACATTTGTCTGGCGCAGACTGGAGGTAATGATAACCAATTGCGTGGTAAGAATGGGATTTAAGGAGCCTAAGAAGCTTTAATGCCTTGTTTGTTTTCCTATGCTCTCTCTTAGAGGTACTCTCAGCCACGCTGGTGAGAGTGTTGTGATTGGTGTGTTTTGCATGTGTAGGAACACTCCCTCTCCTACATCAAGCAGGCCTTTTCGCTCTGCTTCTGTCCACGTCCCTCATTCACTCACTCACTTTTCCTTGTCCTCCCTTTTCTTTCCCTTCTTATTTCCCCCTCTTCATGTCTGCATGTTTCCTCCTCCTTTCTTTTGTCTCTCTCCTCCCACCGGCGCTGTATGCATTCCTGCCAGGAGGGGCGGAGGTGTCTGTGATCCGGATAAGGACCAGACCTTCTCCTCATGCTCACCCTCGGCCCTCACCCCCTTCCCTGGGAAAATGGGCGCAGCCTCCTCCCTCGCAGGGCACCAGCTCAGCTTTGAGTGAGCTGCCAGGCATGGCAGCAGAGATTTAGCATGATTTGTTTGTCTGCTGCTGCGTATTTGCACCAGCACCCACCCCCCAACCCCGCTCTCTACTCCTTTGCTCCCAAGCTGGTTGGTTGGTGCAGATCTGGATCCAGGCTGCTGGAGGCCAGGGGAGCAGGCCGGGGTTAAGGGGGTGTTAAAGAGGGTGAGGTATGGAAGGCAGCAGTTAAAAAAAATGTGGAGAGCAAGAAAACACACACATACACCCACACACATGCAAGACAATCTCCCTAATCATTCAGTTTGCATTCACAAAGACTTCAGAGTTTTTTCATTACTCCCCCACCCTCCTTGTGTTTTGTAATTGGCTCGCTTCCTGGTGCAGTGGCAGACAGCAGCCACGACAGCGGCTGCCCCGCCGGCCCATTGATCTTTCATCAGCCCATAGAGTTAAAGCTGAAGGCATGAGGGGAAAAGCTGGAGAGGCAGCCCCTCGTTTTATGGCAGCCCGCTGGAGCCTGCCGAGGATTGTTCCCTGCTTCCTCAAATTGTTTTTCATTTAGTCCGGGTGCAGCGCCGTGCTGCTCAGGGGAGAATGAGGTGGAATGACGCAGATATTTAGGGGCGCACGTAACAGCAACAGTCTGGGTAGGTGGATAAAATAGCGTGTTTTCCACTTGTTACATTGTTCTAGGTGTAAATGTGGGTTTGTGTGGCATCTCTGTATTGTTCCCTGTTCCAAAGCAGACTGGTTGTCATAGAGGCCTACAATTGGGAAGTGATGCTGAAAGCTGAGAATTAATCAAACAAAATTCTTGGTGGCTGTAAAAATTACTTACCTTGAAGTGCACAATAGAAATGTATGAATATTAAACACAGGTGAATGTACATCCAAAGTACATTTAAAACCCCAATTTTCTTTTATTGAAGGAACTTTAATTACCTTGCTCAATTTGCATGAATGTGGACTGGGTGGTCAAGTTGCAGATGGTAAAGAAAATCAGTGCACAGGTGTGGTCCACTGAATCCCCCTGCAATATCCTCGCGATCCGAGCTTTAGCTGTCATGTCATGTGGGCTCTGCCTTGGTCATCTAACCGATATGTGATACTGGGATCCTTCTTTGACATCTGCTCCACTGGGATCTTGTTGGAGAGAGGCAGAGAAACAGATTTCAGATCAGCAGATCCATTTTCACAGGACTTTGAATATTTCATGTAGAGGAGTCTTGTAACAGGCATGCAGATATGATAAATAACAACAACCCCATCCAGCTACAGACACTGTACAACGGGTTATGTTTTCTTTATTGAGTGAGAAACATTTAAGTCATTAAAAATATCAAATATAATTATTCAATACATCACACATTTACAGCCAAAACTCACACGACTGTACATTTTATGTGACTTCACAATAAAATGTGAAGTCACATAAAATGTTATGTTTTGTTCATGTAAATAACAAAACATGTTATGTTTTGATAAAATAAAATATGTGTGAAACGTGCATGTACAGTCAGGTTAGAGAGTAGTTGTCACTCCTTTCTGTTTCAAGTTTCAGCAAGCACGTGTTCAATGTAAGGCAGCAATAACGACTCAATATGGTTCCTAAATGTGGATACAGGAGATAACGTTCTGGTGCAGTGCATGGTCCATATATAAGGAAAATATCTCTCTTTATATGTGAACTAATTTGTTAATTCGGGTGATTAAAATATCAAATTTCTATACCCGTTTCCAGAACATCATGCCAGATCATAAAAGTTTCTGACACAAACATATCTAAAAACAACACTTAAACATGAGAGGCCCTGTTAAAGCAGACAGTAAATCAATCCTGGACGTCAGCGCTAACAACGCAAAAAAGATCTCTCTCTCTCTTTCTCTCTCTTACTGCAATACCTCACACCTGACCCCTAAACCTTCACCCACAGAAACGGTACCGTTTCACCAACTGTCTTTGAATACTCTTCCTCTGAAAAGACGTCGTTGAAACCGGAGCCATCCCGGGCCGCTGTATGTGTTTATTAAGTACGCTCTCGGACTGGCGTACTCCCAAGATGGCTGTAACTGAGAGATTTGTTCATGTAGGCATTAGGTCTGGCTATCAGTGGTGAATTATTTATTGAAAAAAATCTTCCAGCCCTTGGCGGCTGAGAGAGTCTGTAGACTGCTCACTGACTGCTTTTTATGTGTAGAACAGGTAGTTTAATTTTGATCCACAATGAACTGAGTATCAAAAAAATTTCAAGAAAATGTTTTTATATTCTTCTAAAATAAAGAAAAATGGTGAAATACTGGCACTGCATGCAGAAAGAAATATGGCAATATATGTTATGTATGACCTGTTTGTGGGATAATTTGTTAAAAGAGCACAAATCTTTCTGTATTATCATAAACAAAAAAAATTGCTAAGTGAGCAACATATCTGATGAGTGAATATTAAATGCATATTTTCTTTTTTCATAATTTTTTTTATTAAATTTTCTTCTTTTGCAATAGCAGATTAGGCAAACAATAAAGTAGAACTGATGGCATTGCAGAAATATTAGTTCAGAGGAGGAGAATTATGGGATATTCAAATATTCTCCCTGTTGTACAATTAACTTTAATGAAATAAAGTCATGACAGAAAATTACAATTATTGTATCTAATATAAGTGATGATAGCATTAGTGTGAAAATGTAGCAATTCGTACAATAAAATGCATCATATGTAATGCAATGACTAAGCAAAATTCAGGCAAAAAAGACAACCCTATATTACTTTCCATCTGATGCTAATATCTCGTTAAAAAAAACACTAAAAGATGTCTTTGGATCTATAAACGTGGTAAAAATGTCTTTAGAAACTTACACAGGGGTGCCCAGATGTTGGTATTTTTAATCATCTTTAAATTTAAGTCAAACTTTGTCATGCTTCTTTTCAGACACAGTGATGTATTTGCATGTATTTGAGTTTGTATGTTTGGTAACAGAGTATTGTATTTACACTTAGAAAATATGAAATATTTACTTTCATTATGTTTCGTTGGTGGAATGTCATCTGAATTACAAAAAAAATAATAATAAATCATTACCATTATAAAAAAATCACTAACAACAAATTGAGAATATTTTTAAGCAAACTAGTTGACTACGAAGTTGTGCTTAAGGTACCCAAATACCAAAAATTTGCTGAATTGATAAGATAGCGCATGTTTCTGTAGCCAATGAAAAATGTAGTCAGGTAGGATATGTAGACATTGTCATGCACTGAGGTGTGCAGAGAAGTTGAGTCTTTTTGTTTGTCACCTAGGAAGTGAGTGGCAAACACTTTAAAAGGGACTCTATGAAGAATAAAACACAAAATTATAATACTATAAATACAAAGACTTATAAATAAGACAATTCTGGAAGCTTGTCCTTTTTACTTTTAAATTCATGTCTGAACATTTCAGTATGAAAATAGAATTTTCAGGATTGGAAATTAGGGCAACTAATTTATAAGGATGGACATTGCCTCCTCACCCTCAGTCTACTTCCCAGATGGTTGGGAAAATTAAGCCATTTTTGTGGGCTTAATACATACAATAATCTTTCAGCTTGAAATAGACTTAAAAACTATCCGTGAATGTTTGAAGGATATGTTCTGCTTACAGGACCAGTAGAAATTAAACGAGAAGACTGTCTGCTCAGACAACATCATTGGAGCCGCAAGCACTATTTTCCTCCAAGATAATGTCAAATATGAACAAAATGGAGACACGGGTCTCACTCACTTGGACAGGAAATTCAGTTATCATCCATATCTCCTCTTCCAAATTTAAATCACAAATGATTTGTTCAAACTCAAATAAATCACATTTTGGTAATTTTCTTTGCCTCCATTATTGCGTTAGAGTTTTTTAAATGTTTATGGTCGTCAGTGATAGAGAAATAGAGACCACTGGAGAGGCCTGGCTATTGTCATTCAATGGCCAAGCCATTTTGGAAATCGCCGCTTTCCGTCTGCCCTTGCTGTTTCTCCTACTCTCTCTCTCTGTCTCTCTCTTTCTGTATTTCCTCATGGGCTTCATTGAATGGAAGACTTCCTTTTATAATTTCCAGGGTTTTTTCATATGCTGCCAAATCCACGGCATCTTAGTAAAAGAACGGCTGAATGGGTCAAAGATTGAATGAGACGTTAGTTAAATGAGGAGGAAGTAAAATTTATCCTGGGTGCCAAGATTTATGACATAAAACTATTAACCCTTATTAATAACAACAGATACTGCTTACTTTGGATATCTGCTGCAAAAAAATTCCATGAATTACTTTAAAGGACTGATAAAAATGTCTTATCTCTCCTGCCTAAGTTTAGACGACCCTAAGTTATACTCATTTGTTGCCTTTGAACTGAACATTTTCCACAGATTTTGGAAAATACATAACAACCGATGAAGGGTATAATTTGAGAGCAGCTCTTCTGCTGCCTAACCTCATTTGAAATCAACTGTTCTCCAAGATGTAATTCCCGTTAACATGTCATTTAGGGGTTTTGTAAACTTCAGATGTAATTTGAATATATTACTCCCTGACTTGCGACCTACAGCTGATTTGAAACGTCTCTTAGCCACCAAACTCCCATTTTGCCATTTTATGTCTTGTCTCTTTAAAAAGAAATATTTGAAACATTTCATAGCCACCAAACTCCAAATAGTCATTTTATATCTTGTCACATGAAAAAGAAGTACAATTATAACATGTTTTTCATCATCGAGTCAGATATTTTACTGGCAAAAAGTAAGAAAAGACATTAAAATGAAAGAGTCTGGAAACAAATAAAATATGTCCAAAACAAATGACTAAAAATGAAGTTAAATCTAAAACATTTGAGCTGAAAGTATTTAAATAGCAGCAAACTAGAGGAGAACGTCTGTGCTGCCTGTGTCACATGGAGAAAGACCATTTCCACCAGAAGGGCTTGAAATCCACTTGCAGGACTGCCAAGACATCATTCCCACTGCTGTGGTCAGCAAAGTGACCTGTAAAGGAAAGCCACTGTGCAAAATTTGCACAGTTGCAAATTATGTGTAAATGAAAGAGAGAAAGAAAATTAGGAATTAAAGATTTGTGTGCTTAGGCTTGAAAAGTCGAGGCTGACTTCCAATTTATTGTTGATGTCTGCAGAATTAACTAAATGTTGTATGTGGTAATAAACATTAAGTATTTAAATTAGGAGACTAAACTTAACTAAAGCTCCAAAGTGCATCTCTACTTCTTTAATGCACCTAAATATATGAACATAATGCTTTACCAAAAACAATTTGATAAAACTAATTATATAGTGCATTGATCGACCATGGATCTTAGTCTGTGTTGCTTGATTGGCATGGCTCACTTCACATAAAAAACACCTGTCACCATTTTTGACTCCAATAATTCTGGAGGATTAATGTTTTTGTTATTTTTATAGAATTTTGCTGTAGCTTCCAGAGCTCAGAGGTTTTGGTTCAATCCTAGGAACTGGAGCACAGTTGGATTGGTGATTGCTACAATGCTTACTATTTTAATACCATTCCATAAAATGTGGTTCTCTCTATTACATGCTTTCAAAAAATAAAGCACAAGTTTGCAAAATATATGTTGCTGCATTTTGTGTGCTACTGGGTTACTAAAAAGCAATGTTGTCAGCAGAACTAACAACTAGTTTATAGCTGCAGCTCTCGCTGCTCTGTATCTGCAGAGGCAACGTTGGATCCTGAACTTGGGGCTGTTCAGAGAGCTTTGGCTTTCCTGGGCAGACTTCAGGGGCATTCCTCTTGTGGGATCAATTGAGAATGTCTGTGTTTTAACTTTGAATTTGTATGATTTCTTTAATTTAATGTTGTACTACTGAATATATACTCTTTCCAATGTGTTTGTTTTGCAAAATGCCTTCACACACTGATTGTTGTGAATCGGTACAGCATAAGTCAACTGAAAGGAACGAGTTTGAGTTATTTACAACTTTCAAACTTTCACTTTTGAGCACAAACACCACCAATACAGGTTGAACAGAAGATAGAAAGTATTGAAAATGTTCCTTGTGTGAGTTAGACTAATAGTGGTTTGTAAAAATGACTTCTATAAAAATTATTTGGCCACTCTTTGACCCACCTGCTGGTGTGAAGCTACTTCATC